TAAAACTCTATATATTCAGATATCAGATGTAAATGACAACAGTCCACAATTCTCTCAAAATCCATTACAGTTTTATCTGGTTGAAAATAACGTTGCTGGAGCCTCAGTGTTCTCTGTCAGCGCAACGGACAAAGATGTGAATGAAAATGCAGCAATTTCATATCATATTGTGAGAGAAGGGAGTGGAAATGATGTAACGTCATTCCTCAATATAAATCCAGATAATGGACACATTTCCGCGCTAAAAAGTTTTGACTTTGAAACAGTGAAAACTTTCCAGTTCCAAGTTGTCGCCACAGATTCAGGAACTCCGTCACTAAGCAACAACGTGACAGTGAACGTGTTCATTCTGGATCAGAACGACAACGCTCCAGTCATCCTGTATCCAGTCAGCTCCAACGGTTCTGCTGAAGGTGTGGAGGAGATTCCCCGCAATGTCAACGCAGGACACTTGGTGACTAAAGTCAGAGCCTATGACGCTGATATAGGATATAACGGCTGGTTACTCTTTTCACTGCAGGAAGTCACTGACCACAGTCTCTTTGCTTTGGACCGCTATACAGGACAGATCAGAACACTTCGCTCATTCACAGAGACAGACGAGGCTGAGCATAAACTGCTCATACTGGTCAAAGACAATGGCAACGTTTCACTCTCAGCAACAGCTACTGTCATTGTCAAACTTGTGGAGCCCAGAGAGGCTTTTGCAGCTTCTGATGTTAAAAGTGCAACTAAAGTTGACGAGGAGGACAATGTGACATTTTACCTCATGATAACTTTGGGCTCAGTTTCTCTACTTTTTATCATCAGTATCATCGTGCTGATTGCAATGCAGTGCTCCAAATCCACAGACTATACTTCCAAATATCTCCAAGAGGCTAATTATGATGGGACACTGTGTCACAGCATCCAGTACAGATCTGGAGACAAACGCTACATGTTAGTTGGACCCAGGATGAGTATAGGATCTACTATAGTCCCTGGCAGCCATGCCAACACACTGGTGCTCCCTGACAGGAGACGTACTTCTGAAGAGGTAAGAAAGATCACTTCATTTCAAGACAGTTCTGGTATGAATGCTAGCGATACATGAGACACAGATCCTATAAATTAAAGTGCCCCAAAAGTACTGAATCACACCACCTTATCACTATGAACCACAGACATAAAGGTCATCACTGAGGGAAATGAAGATGTGTGTTGTAATGAGACTGCTGAGTGAAGTTGTTGGTTTACAGGTGGTTGTGTGGTTGGTTCTCACACAGCAGAAAGTGTTAACTGATGACGCTTTGGACTGCAGTTAGTATGCTGTGGTTGAACTTTAATGCTGCGTTTTCTCGGTGTACTTGAAAATAAAATTCATCCCAAAAAACGGTGACACTGTGTCACAGCATCTAGTACAGATCTGGAGACAAACGCTACATGTCAGTTGGACCCAGGATGAGTATAGGATCTACTATAGTCCCTGGCAGCCATGCCAACACACTGGTGCTCCCTGACAGGAGGAGGGGATCTGGAGAGGTGTGTTGATATTTGTATTTCCTATTAATACTAATTTAAGGATCTCTTTTGTAATCCCTGTCCTGGTGCTGAAATCGGATTTAAACTAGAACCCAAATGAGGAACTCTGTCATTCAAAAGACCCGAATGTGTTTAGTGACATTTGATGGTGATCAGTTTAAAATGATCCAATGCATTATCACACACACTCACAGGGTGGCAGTACCTTATCAGTATAAGACCTTACAGCGTCTCAGCGCAGGACACACATGAGTCCGCCCCGACTACGTTCAGTCGGGTGAAACAACATTTTCCTGGCGGACCTGGAATAATCGCTTGGTGGCTGTTTTGGGGTTTTGTAAAATACATTCCAAGAAGCCATAAATAAATTTTGTGCTGTGGTGGACATCGGAGGATGTTGGATGCGTTTGGATTCGTACTTTGCCCTCAAAACATGAAACAAAGAGGACGGGAGGCATGGCGTCGGGGACCACATTTACTCGCCGTTTTGGTTTTGCTTCTATTTTTCAGAGCAGCTTCAGCACAACTGAGATACGCAATATACGAAGAGCTCAAAGAGGGGAGTTTTGTTGGGAATATAGCTAAAGATTTGGGAATTGACCTGAATTTAATGAAGCAAAGGGGATTTCGTATTATGCCCGGCTCGACTGAACCTCTTTTCAAGGTAAATGAGAATGACGGTGTCCTTTATGCGAATCGTAAAATAGACCGAGAGGAAGTATGTAAGGACAGCAGTGTTTGTTTGATTAACCTTAAAACCGTTTTGGAAAACCCACTAGAAGTACATTATGTCACCGTGGAGATAACAGATTTAAACGACCACTCTCCCACATTTCCAGAGAAGACAAAGAGGCTGGAGATCTCGGAGTCTGCCTTACCAGGGGCGCGATATCAGTTGCAAAATGCGCACGACCCGGATAGTGGCACAAACTCCGTCCAGCAGTATAAAATAAGCCAGAATGATCATTTTCGTTTAGAGATTAAAGATCGAGGGAGAGATGGTAAAACTCCGATTTTACAGTTACAGAGGCAGCTTGACAGAGAGGCCAAACGTAACCATAAATTGACGCTGACGGCTATAGATGGCGGAAATCCCCCCAAAACGGGCACAGTTGAAATATACATAGATGTTCTAGATGTTAATGACAATATGCCAGTGTTCACTAAAGATACATATTCAGCTGTGCTACAAGAAAACGCCCCTGTCGGCACAACCGTCATCCAAGTTAACGCAACTGATCTGGATGATGGTCCAAACGGGGAAGTTGTGTATTCATTTGGCAGTGATGTAAAAGGTAAAATTCGAGAGCTGTTTGATATCGACTCTGTTACTGGGGAGATCATTGTAAAAGGTCGTGTAGACTTTGAGGAACAGGACAGTTATGACATTGATATACAGGCCTCTGATAAGGGAAGCATTCCATTCAGAACAGATAAAAGTGTGATCATTAAAATTGGAGATACAAACGATAACCCTCCTGAGATAGAAGTAGCATCGTTATCAAGTGCAGTTTCGGAGGATTCTAGACCAGGAACAACCGTAGCGCTTATCAGCATTACTGATTTAGACTCTGGAATGAATGGCAAAATCATCAGCTATGTGGCAGAAGACAGCCCTTTTACATTAACCCCATCGATACAAGATAACATGTTCGCTGTTGTCACTAAGTCAGAGCTTGACAGGGAACAACAATCAAGATATGATATTACAATAGTCGCTAAAGACGCAGGTGAACCAGCCTTAACATCCGAAAAGACTATAAGCGTGTTTGTGTCAGACACCAATGATAACAGTCCAGAGTTTTCAGTGAGCCCATACACTTTCTATATAACCGAAAATAACCCCCCAGGAGCCTCTGTGTTTTCTGTGAGAGCGTCTGATCGTGACGAGGGAGATAATGCGCTTATTTCCTATCATATTCTCAGGAATGCAAGTCATGAAAATAAAGTGACGTCATTCCTCAATATAAACCCCGAAACTGGAGATATTTTGGCGCTGAAAAGTTTCGACTTTGAGACACTGAAAACGTTCCAGTTCCAAGTTGTCGCCACAGATTCAGGAACTCCGTCACTAAGCAACAATGTCACAGTGAACGTGTTCATTCTGGATCAGAACGACAACGCTCCAGTCATCCTGTATCCAGTCAGCTCCAACGGTTCTGCTGAAGGTGTGGAGGAGATTCCCCGCAATGTCAACGCAGGACACTTGGTGACTAAAGTCAGAGCCTATGACGCTGATATAGGATATAACGGATGGTTACTCTTTTCACTGCAGGAAGTCACTGACCACAGTCTCTTTGCTTTGGACCGCTATACAGGACAGATCAGAACACTTCGCTCATTCACAGAGACAGACGAGGCTGAGCATAAACTGCTCATACTGGTCAAAGACAATGGCAACGTTTCACTCTCAGCAACAGCTACTGTCATTGTCAAACTTGTGGAGCCCAGAGAGGCTTTTGCAGCTTCTGATGTTAAAAGTGCAACTAAAGTTGACGAGGAGGACAATGTCACATATTACCTCATGATAACTTTGGGCTCAGTTTCTCTACTTTTTATCATCAGTATCATCGTGCTGATTGCAATGCAGTGCTCCAAATCCACAGACTATACTTCCAAATATCTCCAAGAGGCTAATTATGATGGGACACTGTGTCACAGCATCCAGTACAGATCTGGAGACAAACGCTACATGTTAGTTGGACCCAGGATGAGTATAGGATCTACTATAGTCCCTGGCAGCCATGCCAACACACTGGTGCTCCCTGACAGGAGGAGGGGATCTGGAGAGGTAAGACCAATATTACAACTCTCTTCCCTCTAACTCTTTTGTTTTCTTTTTGCCATTTTGTGTGAATAGCATTGGCTCTGATACATGCTTGTAAAACGCGTCACTCTACAACTAATAGTATTTGTTTGCTGAGTTGTAGTGGCGGGATCAAATTGATTATGCCAGTCGTTACAGAGCAGGAAGAATTCACTTCTTCACTGATAACACTCTAATATGGTAAATGGGAGGAGAACGCTTTCTTGTGTAGTTTTGCAATGGCTATATTAGTCATCTTTATGTGGTGTACAGGTGTTGGAACCTCTAATGTAGTGGTGGTTTGTTTGAGTGCAGACTGTCGCTGTCCGTGGTGCTGAACCAGTATTAAGTAAGTTCCTCTCCTTCGGCAAAACGCACTCTCAGTAAAATAGTAAGAGTCATGTCTCCATGGAAAATTTCGTGAATGATAGTGGCATCTTTGCCTCCTCTTTGCTTTTAAAGTGAGAATATAATAGGCCGCTTGTCATTGTTTAAAAAATCTTTATTTCTCGTGTGGGTCCACTTTTTAACACATGTTGCTATTATTTCATAAACAGAACTGCAGTGTAATTCTTCATCACTTGGTGTCAGTATAATAAAAAATATTTCTTTCCCATGTTTTCGTCATAGCCAGTAGACCCATCCCCTTCTTCTTTAGAGTCTAACACCATCATTGACAGAACATTATACGCGCATAAGGCTTTAATACACAATTTAGCTTAAAAAATCAAGTCTCTGTTGGAGAGTGATTGTATTATGACAACGACAGCAACAGGGGGAGTTAACATTAGTATAAGAGTATAGCTCACGGAAAGCTTTTTTTAACATTTCATTATCGCATCATGGAACAAAGAGGACGGCAGACATGGAGCGAGCAGACAAAGTGGCTTGCCTTCATGATGGTTTTGGTTACGCTTTGGACTAGAGCGTCGGGACAGCTGCGATATTCCATCTCCGAGGAAGTGACACAAGGAACTGCTGTTGGAAATATTGCTAAGGATTTAGGTGTTGATAGGAACACACTGAAAGAGAGGGGGTACCGTATTGTCTACGGCACGACAGAGCCTCCTTTTCGAGTGAATCAAGACGATGGCATCTTGTATGTGAACCGCAAAATTGACAGAGAGGAAGTGTGCGACCGAAGCAAGGTTTGTCTGATCGACTTAAAAGCCGTGTTAGAAAACCCACTAGAGGTGCACTATGTATCAGTGGAGATTCTGGATGTAAACGACCACGCTCCAAGCTTTCCCGAAAATGAAAAGCTGTTAGAGATTTCTGAATCTGCGTTACCAGGAACACGATTTCAGTTAAAAGCTGCGCGTGACGCGGACAGTGGGTCATTATCTGTTCAGCAATATAAGTTGAGTCAGAATGAACATTTCCGCTTGGAAGTAAAAGATCGTGGTGAAGACCGTAAAACTCCTACTTTAATTCTCCAAAAGCCACTTGATAGAGAAGCTGTAAAGACCCATGTCTTACTTCTGACAGCTATTGATGGAGGTAGACCTCCACGATCTGGTAACATGACAATAATTGTTGATGTGTCCGATGTTAATGATAACCCCCCAGTTTTCACCCAGGAATCCTACACTGTGCAGCTAAAAGAAAATTCTCCTCTTGGCACAACTGTCATTCAAGTTAATGCAACAGATTTAGACGAGGGTTCAAATGGTGAAGTTGTATACTCATTTGGAAATGATGTGGATGCACTGACAAGTGCGCGTTTTGATTTAAATCCAATGACTGGAGTAATTACGGTAGCAGGGGCCATAGATTTCGAAGAACGTGGCAGATATGAAATTGATATCCAGGCATCCGACAAAGGTGCGGCTACACTGGCGACGGAGAAAACTGTTATTATACATATTGTTGACGTAAATGACAACGCACCAGAAATTGAAGTGACATCTTTTTCACGTGCGCTGCCGGAAGATTCAAAACCGGGAACCACAGTGGCCTTAATTAGTGTTAAAGACTCAGACTCTGGTCTTAACGGGAAAGTGATGAGTTACATAAGCCAAGATCTTCCTTTTACGCTCACTCCATCTTTACAAAACAACATGTACTCTCTGGTAACAAAATCGCTATTAGATCGAGAGCTGCAGTCACAATATGACGTAACAATTGTAGGTAAAGACACAGGTGAACCATCCTTATCATCAGAGAAAACTATACACATTGTTGTGTCAGATGTGAATGATAACAGGCCGGTGTTTTCACAGAACCCGTATACTTTCTATATAACTGAGAATAACAACCCGGGAGCGTCTATTTTATCAGTGACAGCCCGGGATGATGACGAGGGTAGTAATGCTGTTATTACGTATCATATAGCAAGGGACAGGGGCGGAGAACATTTGTTTACCTCCTTCTTGAGTGTAAATGGAGAAAATGGACACATCTCCGCACTAAAAAGTTTCGACTTTGAAACAGTGAAAACTTTCCAGTTCCAAGTTGTCGCCACAGATTCAGGAACTCCGTCACTAAGCAACAACGTGACAGTGAACGTGTTCATTCTGGATCAGAACGACAACGCTCCAGTCATCCTGTATCCAGTCAGCTCCAACGGTTCTGCTGAAGGTGTGGAGGAGATTCCCCGCAATGTCAACGCAGGACACTTGGTGACTAAAGTCAGAGCCTATGACGCTGATATAGGATATAACGGCTGGTTACTCTTTTCACTGCAGGAAGTCACTGACCACAGTCTCTTTGCTTTGGACCGCTATACAGGACAGATCAGAACACTACGCTCATTCACAGAGACAGACGAGGCTGAGCATAAACTGCTCATACTGGTCAAAGACAATGGCAACGTTTCACTCTCAGCAACAGCTACTGTCATTGTCAAACTTGTGGAGCCCAGAGAGGCTTTTGCAGCTTCTGATGTTAAAAGTGCAACTAAAGTTGACGAGGAGGACAATGTGACATTTTACCTCATGATAACTTTGGGCTCAGTTTCTCTACTTTTTATCATCAGTATCATCGTGCTGATTGCAATGCAGTGCTCCAAATCCACAGACTATACTTCCAAATATCTACAAGAGGCTAATTATGATGGGACACTGTGTCACAGCATCCAGTACAGATCTGGAGACAAACGCTACATGTTAGTTGGACCCAGGATGAGTATAGGATCAACTATAGTCCCTGGCAGCCATGCCAACACACTAGTGCTCCCTGACAGGAGGAGGGGATCTGGAGAGGTAAGATCAGTGGTTTTACTCTCCTATCATTTTCCACGCTCATTATAACATTTGTTTTATGGTGCTTCCTGTTAAGGTGCCTTTGATTGGAATCACTTACTGAGAAATGTTTTGAAACTGAAAATAGAAACGCGGACATTAAGGGCTATTTACAGGTGGTTACTTTGACTGTCCATGGTGCTGATTTTCTACAAGCCACTTCTAAAGGCGTCACAAGCTACAGTGGTTTTGGGGAACACCTTACTTAGTTAAGAGGGATGCTTTTGGGATGTAGAGATACAAAGGAGAGCGATGTCGGAATTGTATTTACAGCAGCTACGGTGCATGGGGTAAAATTGAATGTCCTAGTGCTTGTTTGCAGGTTAGTGGGCTCTTCCAATTTCTCTCATATTCTTGCGATTGAAAAAAGAGATCGCATGGTGTCAGTGCAGGAAAGCATAAGTGCGCCTGCACTAGAGCCCATGCCAGCTGTATTTTGGAAACGCCCATTGATGATATTACTAGTTAAACCACAGCAGCGTCGTTTGTAAGCTGACGGCTTGTCGTTGTAAATGGTCTATATTTGATTTAGATCAAAAAGAGAAGGACGCTTGTATATGCCACTGCATAGGATGATGTTTCTCTGAGGCGGTTATTCTTCTGGTGAAGGATTATAAGATCTTTTGTTGTGGATCATGGAACAAAGAAAACGCGAGGCACGGAGGATGACACGGCTGTGGGTCTGCTTCGCGGTTGCTACGCTTTTGTGGAGCGTGGCCTCGGCGCAGATACGATATTCCATCTCTGAGGAAGTCAAGGAAGGAACAGTGGTTGGGAATGTTGCAAAAGATCTGGGATTAGATAAAAGCACGTTGAAAGACAGGAAGTATCGGATTGTTTCTGGTGCAGCAGAACCTCTTTTCCATGTAAACCAAAACGATGGCATCCTGTATGTGAGCCGAAAGCTGGACAGAGAAGAGGTGTGCGAGCGGAGCAGTACGTGTTTGCTTAATCTGAAAACAGTGTTAGAAAACCCGCTGGAAGTCCACTATGTTGGAGTTGAGGTTTTGGATATAAACGATCATTCCCCTAGCTTTCCAGAGGCGGAGAAAACGTTAGAGATTTCAGAATCGGTGTTAAGTGGAACACGCTTTCAGTTACAAGCCGCTCGAGATCCAGACAGTGGTCATTTTTCTGTGCAACAGTATAAACTGAGCCCAAACGAGCACTTCCGTTTGGAAGTTAAGGATAAGGGTGAAGATGGTAAAATACCGATTTTAATTGTGCAAAAATCTTTGGATAGAGAGGCAGCGAGAAGTCACTCGTTAGTGCTGACCGCACTGGATGGAGGGAAACCTCCGAAATCTGGCGAAATTAATATTCTAGTAAATGTTTTAGATGTTAATGATAACATACCTGTGTTCTCCAAAGATATTTACACTGTGATGCTCGATGAAAACGCTCCAATAGGCACGACAGTCGTACAAGTGTATGCAACTGATTTAGATGATGGGCCAAACGGAGAAGTCGTTTACTCGTTTAGCAACAGTGTGAATCGGAGAATATTTAAACTTTTTGAAATAAACCCATCAACAGGGGAGATAACTGTGAAAGGTCCAATAGACTACGAGAACAAAGATAAATATGAAATTGAAATACAGGCATCAGATAAAGGTCTGGCTCCTCTTACAACTGAGAAAAGTGTGGTTATCAAGATAGCTGACGTTAATGATAATGCACCTGAGATTGAAGTTACCTCATTTTCAAGCTCCATCCCTGAAGACTCCAGACCTGGAACTACAGTTGCCCTGATCAGTGTAAATGACTTGGACTCTGGGCTCAATGGAAAAGTTATTTGCTCCATAGGTGAGGATGTTCCTTTCACGTTATCTCCATCCTTGCAAGAAAAAATGTATTCATTAGTGACCAAGTCCCCTCTGGACAAGGAGAAACAGTCACATTATGCCCTAACGATAACTGCAAAGGATTCTGGCACACCATCACTANATGAGTATAGGATCTACTATAGTCCCTGGCAGCCATGCCAACACACTAGTGCTCCCTGACAGGAGGAGGGGATCTGGAGAGGTAAGGAAAAGTACAATTACAAACTTTGAAGCAACTAACAGTATTGCTTGTTTACTAAACATATCAACTATGCATCCACGGGTAATTTTCTGCATCGCATGGTACTGGCTTGGTTTGCTTCCCCGGTTCTCCTGGTAATTATGTCCTTTTTGTACTTTGTCAATACCCTCATTAACTATCAAAATACCTTTGATTTTATTACCAGGTTGGCATCCCACACACTTTCAAGGGCAATGACATAAACAATGATTGCAGACCTGTTGTCCTGTAGACGTTTTATTTTGCTGCAGTTATTTGTTTAAGTGGTTGGGGTTTTTTTTATGTTGATTTGGTATCTTGTCTACTTGTACTCTTTTACAACCTTCTTCAAGTTTTCACATTAACTTTACAATTTAAAACTGTGGACGAGCAAAAGTGAGCTGACTTATGCTTGACTGGTGTGTGTGCTTCATCAGTACTCCTTCACTTAGCCATGACCAACACATGATGATAATGTAAGCTTTACCAAGCCATAACATCGCAAGTACATTGTGGCAATGTGAAAAAGCTATTCAAGTTAACTCAGCTGACAATATGTAACAGTGGCTTAATGAAAGGGGTATGCCGAACTACAAAATGTTGGATAGCTGTTCTTGGTGCTGAAAGTAGAAGACGTTTTTTTTTTTTTTTTTATGCCGCTTGTTTACAGACTCAGCGGCCTCCTGATCTCTTTACTCACAGTATTTTTATGGCTAAAAAACAAGCTTCCATTGACCTAATGTCCATTACATCCTTCAAGTCACTGCAGTGGGAAATAATGTCGCATGGTGTCAGTATAATGTAAAAAGTCAGCGTCAGACGAGCTTGTCGTCACTACTTTGTGGTTCCACCTCCTGACAATATTCTCACGTCATAGTGGCAGGATCGTTTCTGTGCCGATTGTGTAAATGGTAGGATTTCCGTCAGTTCTGTATGTATCATCAGTGGTTCAGTATGTACATTTAGGAAAGTGCTGGATTCTATTTACAACGAAGCTGTTGTTCGTGTGTTGGATCACTGATGTTTCGGGTTTAACCATGGAACAAAGAAGATACGGGAAACGAAGGGCGAGAGGATATCTGGTCGGCTGTGTGGTTGCTGTGCTCTTGTGGAGCGTGGCTTCAGCGCAAATACGATATTCCATCTCCGAGGAAGTTAACGAAGGAACTGTGGTTGGAAATGTAGCAAAAGATCTGGGATTGGATAAAAGCACACTGAAAGAGAGGAAGTATCGGGTTGTTTCTAGTAATGCGGATCATCTCTTCCATGTAAATCAGAACGATGGCATCCTGTATGTGAGCCGGAAGATTGACAGAGAAGAGGTGTGCGCGCAGAGCAGTGCGTGTTTGATAAATCTGAAAACCGTGTTAGAAAATCCACTGGAGATACATTATGTAGAAGTGGAGGTGGTGGACATAAATGACCATTCTCCCATTTTCCCAGAGAGAGAGACAAGGTTGGAGATTTCAGAATCCGTGCTGCCCGGAGCGCGTATTCAGCTCAAAGACTCGCGTGATCCAGACAGTGGTCATTTTTCAGTGCAACGCTATAAACTCAGTGACAACGATCACTTCCGTTTGGAAGTTAAAGATAAAGGAGAAGATGGTAAAATACCAATACTGGTTGTTCAAAAGTCTTTAGATAGGGAAACTAGAGGGAGTCATTCATTAGTGCTGACCGCACTGGATGGAGGGAAACCTCCGAAATCTGGTAATATGAATATTCTAGTAAATGTTTTGGATATTAATGATAACGCACCTGTTTTCACTGAAGGTGTTTATTCTGCCACGCTCTCTGAAAACGCTCCAATAGGCACAACAGTCATTCGAGTAAATGCAACCGATTTAGATGAAGGACCAAACGGAGAAGTGGTTTACTCGTTTACTAACACTATAAGTCAAAGGTTATTAAAACTGTTTGATATTGATCCATTAACAGGTGAGATAATTGTTAAAGGTTTAATAGACTATGAGGAGAGAGATAAGTATGAGATTGAAATTCAAGCAATGGACAAAGGTCTGGCTCCTCTAGCTACGGAAAAAAGTGTGATGATCAAGATAGTTGACGTTAATGATAATGTACCTGAGATCGAAGTTACCTCATTTTCAAGCTCCATCCCTGAAGACTCCAGACCTGGAACTACAGTTGCCCTGATCAGTGTAAACGACTTGGACTCTGGGCTCAATGGAAAAGTTATTTGCTCCATAGCTGAGGATATTCCTTTTGCTTTAACACCTTCGTCACAAGACAAGATGTATTCATTAGTGACCAAATCCCCTCTGGACAGAGAGAAACAGTCACAATATGAGTTGACAATAACTGCAAAAGATGCTGGTCAACCACCATTGTCATCTGAAAAGACAATAAGCGTTGTTGTATCAGATGTGAATGACAACAGTCCAGAGTTTTCACAGAGTCCATATACTTTCTATGTGACTGAGGGCAATGAGCCAGGAGTCTCTGTGTTTTCTGTTAAAGCTTTTGATCGTGATGAGAACAGCAATGCGCTTATATCCTATCATATTGTCAGAGACTCAAGCACTGATAACAAATTGACTTCATTTCTCAACATAAACTCTGAAAATGGAGATATTTTGGCGCTGAAAAGTTTTGACTTTGAAACAGTGAAAACTTTCCAGTTCCAAGTTGTCGCCACAGATTCAGGAACTCCGTCACTAAGCAACAACGTGACAGTGAACATGTTCATTCTGGATCAGAACGACAACGCTCCAGTCATCCTGTATCCAGTCAGCTCCAACGGTTCTGCTGAAGGTGTGGAGGAGATTCCCCGCAATGTCAACGCAGGACACTTGGTGACTAAAGTCAGAGCCTATGACGCTGATATAGGATATAACGGCTGGTTACTCTTTTCACTGCAGGAAGTCACTGACCACAGTCTCTTTGCTTTGGACCGCTATACAGGACAGATCAGAACACTTCGCTCATTCACAGAGACAGACGAGGCTGAGCATAAACTGCTCATACTGGTCAAAGACAATGGCAACGTTTCACTCTCAGCAACAGCTACTGTCATTGTCAAACTTGTGGAGCCCAGAGAGGCTTTTGCAGCTTCTGATGTTAAAAGTGCAACTAAAGTTGACGAGGAGGACAATGTGACATTTTACCTCATGATAACTTTGGGCTCAGTTTCTCTACTTTTTATCATCAGTATCATCGTGCTGATTGCAATGCAGTGCTCCAAATCCACAGACTATACTTCCAAATATCTCCAAGAGGCTAATTATGATGGGACACTGTGTCACAGCATCCAGTACAGATCTGGAGACAAACGCTACATGTTAGTTGGACCCAGGATGAGTATAGGATCTACTATAGTCCCTGGCAGCCATGCCAACACACTAGTGCTCCCTGACAGGAGGAGGGGATCTGGAGAGGTAAGCTGTATTAACAGAAGACTTTCTTTTATAAATTTTATATTGAGCATTACATATATATAGAGGAAACATACACATATTTATTGACACACTGGGCAAGCATTGGTAACCAACAAACATTATCGGCACATTTTACTTCTAATGCTTTTTTGTCCCAGATACAATTGGAATTCTTACCCTTATGTATAAAGTCAGCTTTTAAGGGGTTGTTAAGTTTTGACAAATTCCGAAAATACTTAATTGAGATTATGGAAACATTTTGTTCGTGGGCTGAAAGTGACTCATCCAGTGGTTGTTAATCCATATTTCATTTTTGCTGCATACAGGGGGAATTTGGAGTACAGAGTTTAAACTGTTGTGTGTTAGTTGATTGTTGTTAGCTTTATCTTGTCGGTGGGATCCTTCATCGCTGTAATGATGCAGTTTTGTCTTTTAGGTTAACCTGGGCAAAGTTAAACATAAAGAGTGCTTGGGCATTTTATGATTCCATTCTAGTTCAGAAATTTTACCACCACACTTTTAAAAGACCAATCAGCATTCTGACTTACCTTTTATACAATTTTTTATTTGCATATTGCTTGCTATTTTCAATTTCCAGCAGGTCGTAATGTGTCTGATGCTTTTTGGCCTATGTATCAAAATATTAAGTTATTTTTACCCCTATTAATTCATTGTTTCTTTTGTCAAACAGCTTTTAATGTTGATATCATTTTTACACAGTACGATATTCAAAAATTGTGGCTGTTAAAAACGTTAAGTTGCAGTTCAGTTATAGTTGCTTGTGTGTTTAAATAAGAGAAGTCATGCTTCCAAGAAAGCAGAGCTGACTTACTGCAGATACAGGAGCATGCTGCATCAGCAGTGTCACAATACCCACACCACACTCAACCCCAGAATACACACAAAGTATCTCATAGAAATTGGTGCAACACACCAGCATGAAAAAATAAACTATGCTGGGGTTTACAATGCATTATTGTACAGTAGACCTGTAAAAGAATTATAATACTTTCACAGTAGACTCAGCTTCAGTTAGTAGTAGTCGCTGTCCACGGTGCTGAAAGTGTTTAGTCTCAATTTCCAATATTTGTTTCAAAACACAAAATGGCATAATCTCATCGATTTAATTAATGCAACTTAATCAAAGGAAACGCATGATATTCGCACTTCTGCAGTATCCTCCAACACTCCAAAGGACATTGCTTATTAACTGCATGTTTACTAAGAAAGAGCTCCACCTCCTCATGTCATTACAATTACAGGACTCCGTTTTGTCAGTGATTCGTGCTAGCTGCGAAACATAAATCATAAATCTAATGTGTCAAAGACCCCTCGAATTTCTGTAGTGAGACGTCTGGTCGCATGGTGTCAGTGGAATTTAAGAAGTCAGCAGTACACGAGCTGGTCGTCATTACACTTTGGTTCCACCTCTTGAGAACATCATCACAACGACATGAGCACAGCCTTTATTGTTGCCTTCCTGAATATTCCGTTTGTTACCATTTCAGACTGTGTAGGAAGAGAGTGAATATTAACATACAGAGGAGTGCGGGATACTTTTGGTTTTACAACGCTCTGATTGTTGTTACGATGGATTATTGATGATGTCGGGTATAACCATGGAACAAAGAAGATGCAAGCTACGAAATGCGAGAGGATGTGTGGTCGGCTGTGTGGTTGCTGTGCTTTTGTGGAGCGTGGCCTCGGCGCAATCACGATATTCCATCTCCGAGGAAGTTAACGAAGGAACTGTGGTTGGAAATGTAGCGAAGGATTTGGGATTGGATAAAAGCACACTGAGAGAGAGGAAGTATCGGGTTGTTTCGAGTAACGCGGATCCTCTTTTCCATGTGAATCAAAACGATGGAATCCTGTATGTGAGCCGGAAGATTGACAGAGAAGAGGTGTGCGCGCAGAGCAGTACGTGTTTAATTAATCTGAAAACAGTGTTAGAAAATCCACTGGAGGTGCATTATGTTGAAGTGGAGGTGGTGGATATAAATGACCATTCTCCCACTTTCCCGGAAAAAGATAAAACGTTAGAGATTTCAGAGTCAGTGCTGCCCGGAGCACGTATTCAGCTAAAACCTTCACGAGATGGAGACAGTGGTCATTTCTCCGTGCAGCAGTATAAACTCAGCCACAACGATCACTTCCGTTTGGAAGTTAAGGATAAAGGAGAGGACGGTAAAATACCAATATTGGTTGTTCAAAAACCTTTAGACAGAGAAACTGCAAAAAGCCACTCATTAGTGCTGACCGCACTGGATGGAGGGAAACCTCCAAAATCTGGTACTATGAATATTCTCGTAAATGTTTTAGATGTTAATGATAACACACCTGTTTTCTCTAAAGAAATGTATTCCGTGCTGCTCGATGAAAATGCACCAGTAGGCACAACGGTCATACAAGTGAATGCAACTGATTTAGATGAAGGATCAAACGGAGAAGTGGTTTACTCGTTTAGTAACAGTATGAATCAAAATATGTTAAATCTTTTTGACATCAATCCATTAACAGGTGAGATAACTGTTAAAGGTATGATAGATTATGAGGAGAAAGACAGATATGAAATTGAAATTGAAGCATCAGATAAAGGTCCGGCCCCTTTTGCAACAGACATTAGCGTCATTATTAAGATAGTTGACGTTAATGATAATGCACCTGAGATTGAAGTTACCTCATTTTCTAGCTCCATCCCTGAAGACTCCAGACCTGGAACTACAGTTGCCCTGATCAGTGTAAATGACTTGGACTCTGGGCTCAATGGAAAAGTTATTTGCGCTTTAAATGAAGACGTTCCATTTACTTTATCCCCATCCTTAAAAGACAAGATGTATTCATTAGTGACCAAATCCCCTCTGGACAGAGAGAAACAGTCACAATATGAGCTGACAATAACTGCAAAAGACGCTGGTCAACCACCATTATCATCTGAAAAGACAATAAGCGTTGTTGTATCAGATGTGAATGACAACAGTCCAGAGTTTTCACAGAGTCCATATACTTTCTATGTGACTGAAGGTAATGAGCCAGGAGTCTCTGTGTTTTCTGTTAAAGCTTTTGATCGTGATGAGAACAACAATGCGCTTATATCCTATCATATTGTCAGAGACTCAAGCACTGATAACAAATTGACTTCATTTCTCAACATAAACTCTGAAAATGGAGATATTTTGGCGCTGAAAAGTTTTGACTTTGAAACAGTGAAAACTTTCCAGTTCCAAGTTGTCGCCACAGATTCAGGAACTCCGTCACTAAGCAACAACGTGACAGTGAACGTGTTCATTCTGGATCAGAACGACAACGCTCCAGTCATCCTGTATCCAGTCAGCTCCAACGGTTCTGCTGAAGGTGTGGAGGAGATTCCCCGCAATGTCAACGCAGGACACTTGGTGACTAAAGTCAGAGCCTATGACGCTGATATAGGATATAACGGCTGGTTACTCTTTTCACTGCAGGAAGTCACTGACCACAGTCTCTTTGCTTTGGACCGCTATACAGGACAGATCAGAACACTTCGCTCATTCACAGAGACAGACGAGGCTGAGCATAAACTGCTCATACTGGTCAAAGACAATGGCAACGTTTCACTCTCAGCAACAGCTACTGTCATTGTCAAACTTGTGGAGCCCAGAGAGGCTTTTGCAGCTTCTGATGTTAAAAGTGCAACTAAAGTTGACGAGGAGGACAATGTGACATTTTACCTCATGATAACTTTGGGCTCAGTTTCTCTACTTTTTATCATCAGTATCATCGTGCTGATTGCAATGCAGTGCTCCAAATCCACAGACTATACTTCCAAATATCTCCAAGAGGCTAATTATGATGGGACACTGTGTCACAGCATCCAGTACAGATCTGGAGACAAACGCTACATGTTAGTTGGACCCAGGATGAGTATAGGATCTACTATAGTCCCTGGCAGCCATGCCAACACACTAGTGCTCCCTGACAGGAGGAGGGGATCTGGAGAGGTAAGACCTAATTTCCAAATTAAGTACTGTCTTTTCCCCTACATGGTTATTTTTAAGGGAAATTGTGGAGTCTCTGCTGTGGTATTCATGACATATATTAAGTGGGCTTGAACCAGTCCAGTACAACATAAACAGAGAAAGAGCATTTGAAATCGCATTTATAGAAATTTCATACATTGGTTACCGATTCCAAAAGCCCAAAGAATGCATGGGATGTTTGAAAGTACATTTGCCTGCTCTGTAGGCCTACATTCTTGAACTACGAATGCACACAATATAGGTTTTGCTTTTTTCCCCCAGTGTTACGCCATTTTAGTCACCATTCTACTGACGCATTTTCTCTGCTGCACTTTCCTCTTTCTGACACTCTTGGGGTAATTAAAAAAAGGATGATGTAAGTTCCCATTAGGTTAGTTGATGGATTTCAGATTGATGATTGCGCTGCATCAGCACGCTTTTACCATCCATATCATACTCAGCTAAAACATTACGTAATGCAATTGATCTCTAAACAGAGGGACGATATGGCAGCTAGGAAAAATATCACAGATAAACCTGAAATGGACTGATGACATTATCACCAAGTGTAGTTGGACACAAATGAAGTTTGTTATGATCTCCCATGTCCATAATGCTGAATGTGGGTCCTCTGATTGCCTGTGATCATAAACTGTAAACAATAAATCAAACCACTCACTGATGTCAGTGTTTTAATTCAGTCAATTTGACCTATATCAATTCTCAATTATTAGTGAGAATCCTCTTGACATTTTGAGCCGCCACAACATTTTTTTGTCATTCACCTGACCATATGGTCTCTCTTTCGAGATAATAACAAACAAACAAAACAAATAATGTGCCTCTTAGCTGAAGTGTTACTGTCTTTTGATTTTCTGCAGTGAGAATTTAGATCGCATGGTGTCAGTGTAAGAGAAAGACTAAGCATTACAAGAGCTTGTCTTCCTGGCGTTTGGGTTCCACCTCTTTAGCGAGTCCACAGCTCCACATTGTCGCAGGCGTTTTTCAGCGTACTGCTGCCGTTGGAAAAAATCTATTTGTCGTCATGTTTGTCCTTGTAGGAAGAGGATGAATATTTTCACAAGTGGAAGTGTTGGATTCAGTCAGTATAACGCAGATTTTGTTTTAATGTGGGATTACGGATGTTTTCGGGTTTAACCATGGAACAAAGAAGATACGAGACAGGAAGGGCGAGAGGATATCTGGTCGGCTGTGTGGTTGCTGTGCTTTTGTGGAGCGTGGCTTCTGCGCAAATACGATATTCCATCTCCGAGGAGGTTAACGAAGGAACTGTGGTTGGAAATGTAGCGAAAGATCTGGGATTGGATAAGAGCACACTGAAAGAGAGGAAGTATCGCATCGTGTCTGGTAACGCGGATCCCCTTTTCTATGTAAATCAGCACGATGGCATCCTGTATGTGAGCCGGAAGATTGACAGAGAAGAGGTGTGCGCGCAGAGCAGTACATGTTTAATAAATCTGAAAACAGTGTTAGAAAACCCACTTGAGATACACTACGTGGGAATTGAAGTTTTGGATATTAATGACCATTCTCCCACTTTCCTGGAGAAAGACAAAACGTTAGAGATTTTCGAGTCTGTGTTACCCGGAGTACGTATCCCGCTACAGCACGCGAGAGATCCAGACGGTGGTCCTTTTTCTGTTCAGCAGTATAAACTGAGCCCCAATGACCACTTCCGATTGGAAGTTAAGGATAAGGGAGAAGATGGAAAAATACCTATATTAATTGTGCAGAAATCTTTGGATAGAGAGGCAGTGAGAAGCCACTCATTAGTGCTGACCGCACTGGATGGAGGGAAACCTCCGAAATCTGGTACTATGAATATTCTAGTGAATGTTTTAGATGTTAATGATAACACACCTGTTTTTTCTCAAGATGTTTATTCTGTGATGCTCGATGAAAACGCTCCAGTCGGCACAACAGTCATACAAGTGAATGCAACTGATTTAGATGAAGGATCAAACGGAGAAGTGGCTTACTCATTTAGCAGTATTGTGAATCGTAGGTTATTAGAGCTTTTTGATATTGATCCATCAACAGGGGAGATAATTGTGAAAGGTGTAATAGACTTTGAGCAGAAGGAACACTACGAAATTGAAATTCAAGCATCAGATAAAGGTCTGGCTCCTCTGACCGCACAGAAAAGCGTCATTATCAAGATAGTTGATGTTAATGATAATGCACCTGAGATTGAAGTTACCTCATTTTCAAGCTCCATCCCTGAAGACTCCAGACCTGGAACTACAGTTGCCCTGATCAGTGTAAATGACTTGGACTCTGGGCTCAATGGAAAAGTTATTTGCTCCATAGCTGAGGATATTCCTTTTGCTTTAACACCATCATTACAAGACAAGATGTATTCATTAGTGACCAAATCTCCTCTAGACAGAGAGAAACAGTCACATTATATCATCACAGTAGTTGCAAAAGATGCTGGTCAGCTTCCATTATCATCTGAAAAGACAATAAGCGTTGTTGTGTCAGATGTGAATGACAACAGTCCAGAGTTTTCACAGAGTCCATATACTTTCTATGTGACTGAGGGCAATGAGCCAGGAGTCTCTGTGTTTTCTGTTAAAGCTTTTGATCGTGATGAGAACAACAATGCGCTTATATCCTATCATATTGTCAGAGACTCAAGCACTGATAACAAATTGACATCATTTCTCAACATAAACTCTGAAAATGGAGATATTTTGGCGCTGAAAAGTTTAGACTTTGAAACAGTGAAAACTTTCCAGTTCCAAGTTGTCGCCACAGATTCAGGAACTCCGTCACTAAGCAACAACGTGACAGTGAACGTGTTCATTCTGGATCAGAACGACAACGCTCCAGTCATCCTGTATCCAGTCAGCTCCAACGGTTCTGCTGAAGGTGTGGAGGAGATTCCCCGCAATGTCAACGCAGGACACTTGGTGACTAAAGTCAGAGCCTATGACGCTGATATAGGATATAACGGCTGGTTACTCTTTTCACTGCAGGAAGTCACTGACCACAGTCTCTTTGCTTTGGACCGCTATACAGGACAGATCAGAACACTTCGCTCATTCACAGAGACAGACGAGGCTGAGCATAAACTGCTCATACTGGTCAAAGACAATGGCAACGTTTCACTCTCAGCAACAGCTACTGTCATTGTCAAACTTGTGGAGCCCAGAGAGGCTTTTGCAGCTTCTGATGTTAAAAGTGCAACTAAAGTTGACGAGGAGGACAATGTGACATTTTACCTCATGATAACTTTGGGCTCAGTTTCTCTACTTTTTATCATCAGTATCATCGTGCTGATTGCAATGCAGTGCTCCAAATCCACAGACTATACTTCCAAATATCTCCAAGAGGCTAATTATGATGGGACACTGTGTCACAGCATCCAGTACAGATCTGGAGACAAACGCTACATGTTAGTTGGACCCAGAATGAGTATAGGATCTACTATAGTCCCTGGCAGCCATGCCAACACACTAGTGCTCCCTGACAGGAGGAGGGGATCTGGAGAGGTAAGACATTAAACAAGCATTCATGTTGAAGGAATGGGCACTACCAAATATTTTTTGGAGAAAATCTTTATAGTCAAAAAAAACCTTTAATGTCCAACTTTTGTTTTTGTTTTTCTCCCACCACTATGCAGTAAAGCATTAAGGCAGACCGTTATTTAAGTTGTGGTGCGTCTGCTGAACACTTAATTTAGTTTTTGGCTGCACATATATTGTATTACATGCTTTCCTGGTGTCTTGTATGCTTTTGAAAATGCAGCATTGGATTGATGTGCTGTTTTGTTTTCCTTGGCAAGTTTGAAAACTGAATAAGCCTGTGTCTGTGGTACATTCATCACAAACTTGAAATGGTATACTATGACCAAATGTGGCAGAACAGAAGTGAAGTTGGTGTTATTCGCTGTCCATGGTGCTGCGCATGTTTGCTGTCATTTCCCAGAATGTGTTCATGAGTTAGCTATATCAAAAGACAGTGACTTCATCCCAGTTTTTAATGAGGGAAACATATATTCGTGTGTTTGGTAGATTATTGTCTTCATTTTGAAAGTATCTGTTTTATATCTATAAAAAGGAGGTTTTGTTTGTAGTGAGCAGCTTCATCGTCTCTTTCCATTCACCACACTGTTGTTGGCCCTGTTTCGACAAAAATAAATAATAATTTAACACACATTAGCTATAGCTAAAATGCCGCTGGCTTTTGATTTTCTGCGGTAAGATTTCAGATCGCATGGTGTCAGTGTAATAGAAAAAGTCAGCATTGCCTGTGCTTGTCGTCAGCGCATTGTGGTTCCACCTCTTGATCGCTGCCTCAGTTCGAGATTAACACGGTCGTTTCTGAGCGTCATGCTGCCTTTGGGGAGACTCGATTTATCGTCATGTCTGCTGAGCTAACAAGAGGATGAATATTTTTACACGTGGAAGTATTGTATTCGTTCATTGCAAAGCGGTTTTTGTTGTTGTGAATGATCACTGAGGATATCGGGTTTAACCATGGAACAAAGAAGCTACGGGAGACGGAGGGCGAGAGGATATCTGGTCGGCTGTGTGGTTGCTGTGCTTTTGTGGAGCGTGGCTTCTGCGCAAATACGATATTCCATCTCTGAGGAAGTTAACGAAGGAACTGTGGTTGGAAATGTAGCGAAGGATTTGGGATTAGATAAAAACATACTGAAGGACAGGAAGTATCGAGTTGTTTCTAGTAACGAGGATCCTCTCTTCCATGTGAATCAGAACGATGGCATCCTGTATGTGAGCCGGAAGATTGACAGAGAAGAGGTGTGCGCGCAGAGCAGTACATGTTTAATAAATCTGAAAACCGTGCTAGAAAATCCACTGGAGGTGCATTATGTAGGAGTGGAAGTGCTGGATGTAAATGATCATTCTCCCACTTTCCCGGAGAACGACAAAACGTTAGAGATTTCAGAGTCTGTGTTGCCCGGAGCACGATTTCAGCTGAAACCCTCACGGGATGGAGACAGTGGTCATTTCTCCGTGCAGCAATATAAACTCAGCCAAAACGAGCACTTCCGTTTGGAAGTTAAGGACAAAGGTGAATACGGTAAAATACCAATGCTGGTTGTTCTAAAGGCTTTAGACAGGGAAACTAGAGGAAGTCATTCATTAGTGCTGACCGCACTGGATGGAGGGAAACCTCCGAAATCTGGTACTATGAATATTCTGGTAAATGTTTTGGATATTAATGATAACGCACCAATTTTCACAAAAGATGTTTATTCTGTGATGCTCGATGAAAACTCTCCAGTAGATACAACAGTCATACAAGTGAATGCAACTGACTTAGATGAAGGACCAAACGGAGAAGTAGTTTACTCATTTAGTAACAGTATGAATCAATATATTTTGAACCTTTTTGACATCAATCCATTAACAGGTGAGATAACTGTTAAAGGTTTAATAGATTATGAGGAAAAGGACAGGCATGAGATTGAAATTGAAGCATCAGATAAAGGTCTGGCTCCTCTTACAACAGACATTAGCGTCATTATTAAGATAGTTGACGTTAATGATAATGTACC